GCTGTCCAATCTCTTCTTAAAAACCTCCAGTGATGGTTAATTGTTCTCACTGTTAGGAAGTTTTTATTAATTCCAGGTTGCTTCTCTCCTCGATTAGTTTCCATCCATTGTTTCTTGTCCTGCCTTCAGGTGCTTTGGAGAATAGGTTGACCCACCCTCTTCTTTGGGGCAGCCCCTCAAATGCTGGAAGATTGCTATCATGTCACCCCTAGTCCTTCTTTTCTCTAGACTAGGAAGATTGATTTGATTCACTTTACATTTCAGTTCCATTAGAATCACATTAAGTATCACGTCAAATTAATTACATATGACTAATATGGCTTTTGATGTGAAGGGGAGAGCTTCAAGAGAGGCCATTTGTCGACTAGACTGACACGGGAAAGTTTATGCTACTTCCATTTTTCTTAAGAAAATAATATGGGCGTAACTATCAAGAAAACAGAATCAGGTTGTAGTCAAAGGACACTTACCTTTTTATCTATTGACTGTTCTTGGTTGGTCTTATTTATTTATCAGATTGCTGTCTCTTTTTCAGAAGTTCAGCACAACCATCACCACCCAGTTAGGAAGGACTGGTTTGGGTAGATTTCTATGGACCTTCTTTGGAGACCATATTTGGTCTTGGGATCTCAGGTGATATATATATCCTGGTTTGCTACTGGCACGCAGCTCATCGAGAAGTTTGCATTGCATGAATGGTGACCCTCCACACAACGTACGAATCCACTTTCAACACATTGCCATCTTTGTTTTTGTCTAATTTTCAGTTCACTCCTTGTCAAGAGACAGCAGAGTGGCCAGGAGATTGTCTAAAGCAGGGGTCTTCAAAGTTGGCAACTTTAAGACTTGTGGACTTCAACTTCCAGAATTCCTCAGCCAGCCGTGGTTGGCTGAAGAATTCTGGGAGTTGAAGTCCACAAGTCTTAAAGTTGCCAAGTTTGAAGACCCCTGATCTAAAGACCTTTATGCAATGGAGAAAAGGTGACCCTCTCTAATTCCAGATACCTAAACTGACCAGTTGAGTCTTCACTTATATTGACCACTTTCTCCGAATTACACCTGGTTGCGCTTCATTGACATAATAATAATAATAATAATAATAATAATAATAATAATAATAATAATAATAATAATAATAATAATAATAATAATAATAATAATAATAATAATAATAATAATAATAATAAAAGTTGGAAGGGACCTTGCAGGTCATCGAGTCCAACCCCCTGCTCAGGCAGGAAACCCTACACCATTTCAGACAAATGGCTGTCCAGTCTTTTCTTAAAAACTTCCAGTGTTGGAGCATTCACCGCTTCTGGAGGCAGGTGGTTCCACTGGTTAATTGTTCTAACTGTCAGGAAGTTTCTCCTCAGTTCTAGGTTGCTTCTCTCCTTGCTTAGTTTCCATCTGTTGCTTCTTGTCCTGCCTTCAGGCGCTTTGGAGAATAGCTTGACTCCCTCTTCTTTGGGGCAGCCCGAGATATTGGAACACTGCTATCCTGTCTCCCCTTCTCTTCATTAAACTAGACATACCCAATTCCAGCAGCCGTTCCTTATATGCTTTAGCCTCCAGTCCCTGAATCATCTTTGTTGCTCTTCTCTGCACTCTTTCTAAAGTCTCAACATCTTTTTTACATCATGGTGACCAAAACTGGATGCAGTATTCCAAGTGTGGCCTTACCAAGGCCTTGTCAAGTGGTATTAATACTTCACGTGATCTTGATTCTATCCCTCTGTTAATGCAGACTTAATGTGGAAGACTGGTCCATGGCGTGCAATCTCCTTCTTCACAAAATTCCAGAATTTAATGCTACAGTTTATTTAAATTTAATGTTTTCTAGTCACACATGCAATCTGATGCAACCTGGTAACTAGGGAATTCTGGGAGCTGAAGCTGACATGTCTTAAAGTTGCCAAGTTAGACAAATGCTGATCTAATGAAAAGCACCATGTAACAATTGAATACATTTGTGAGGCTTTGTGAGTCTATGTTTTATTAGCAGTGACCCGGTGGCACCCTAGCATCCATATTGCATTTGGGAAGACTCACGGACTCCACAAATGTTTTAGTCGCTAGTATCATTTAAATGTGTGTATTGCCTAAGTGAAACATTAGAAATAAAATGTTCCTGAAAGAAACAAGCGTTTAAAGCATCCTGGAGGTGTTGGTGTGTCTCAGCTACTAAAAACAGAAGGGTACATGAAATAGACATATCTGAAAAGGTGGTCTCTTGTTTGTGGGGTTCTGTTACTTAATCATTACATGGTCCCCATTGAAATGGCACCAAGCTCCAAGTATATCTGCAGTTTCAGCTGGACTCATCTACAGGTATAGTGTGACACGTTTCATGAATAAAGCAGCTATCCTGTTACAGATAGTTCTTGACTTATAAGCATTTCATTTAGCTGAAGTCACAACAGCATGGAAAAGGTGACATATGACTGGTCCTCACACACTTATAACTGTTGCAGCATCCCTGGGGTCACACGATGAACATTCAGATGCTTGGCAATTGGGATGTATTTACGAGAGTTGCAGAATCCTGGGATAATCTGATCCCCATTTGCGATCTTCCCAGTTTTTGACGAGCAAAGTCAATGGGGAAAGCCAGATTATCTTAACAAGGGCATGTTTCATTTAACAACTGCAGTGGTTCTCTTAACAACCGTGCCCAAAATGTTCCTAAAATCAAGCATGACTTCATATAACAATCACCTTGCTTAGCGACAGAAATTCTAGTCCCAACTGTGGATGTAAATCCAGGGCTCCTTATACTCTAATTTACTTCTGAACAAAAGTATTTTCTTCTAGAAAAATCACAGCATTTAATTCCCGGGACTAAGTGGTCATATTACATTAGAGGAGCTTGCTCAAGAACTTAAATAATATTCTTCTGCGAAGTTCAACACAATCTGCAAACAGATCCACGCGTGGTGTAAGTTTTCTTTATATTCAGTTCTCCGTACAAAGCATGGCCCATCCGAGTGGTCAGATCACAACGAGCGGAAAAAAAAAGTGAACACAGTATAAAGAAAGTTTAAAAGAAACAGGAGACTAAAGACGAAATGGCAAAGAAGCTGAAGTGTGCTTCACAAGTGACAACATTGTGATTTACAGTTGCTGGCCTGAAGACTGATAATCCATTGGCTGCGCATACCTAAAGGGGAATATACCACATAGGTCCTACAGCATCAAGGTGCATCCAAGTGGCCTTTTGTTTATAAATTGTTGGTTTAAAAAGTGGAAGCCATACCAGTGCAATTGAGAAAATACTATTTTTTTTACTCTACCCAACAGGATTGTTGTGAGAAAAACGTGAAAGAGAGTATAATATACGCCGCCTTATGTTCTTGCAGGAAAGTGGGGATATAAATCTCCTCAGACATTTAACAAGTACGTTTTGGAGAAAACCTAAAGATGGCTGAAGGACAGTCATAAATCACGTTGTAAGCCTTTTGAAAAAGGACTGATAGGAGTTGCAGGTATTAACTGTCAAAAAATGTTTTGCAAGAAGTGAAATATCACTGAAATTGCCTGCCGGTGTTATTTTTTTTATCTCCAAGAAGGGAAAGACCTGAAAAATAAAACATCGGAATAACTAGAAAGCAAGTGCTATTTATTCTTAATGCAATATAGACTGTCAGAGCTGGGTTGTCCAAACTGGATTCTTTAAAAATTTGGTGGGGTTCTGAGAAACTAAGGGAAATTATCTTGGAACATTTCAGCTGGTCTGGTCCCCTCAAAACATTGGCATGGTGTTGCCCACAAAGGCAGCGGAAAGACCAGTCTACTGTGGGCATAGGAGACCCTATGACTGAGCTACAGAGAAACAACAAAAAGGCAGAAATAGGAAAAGCACAATGTTTTATATGGCTTTCTTCGACAACATTTAAAAGGCAGCTCCATCCATTCATTTAGTGACCATTTGAAATGACAAGGGCACTGAAAACCGTGACTTTCAACCGGTCCTTGCGTTTATGACGATTGCAGTATCCCCCCCAATTACCTGATCAAAATTTTGCCAGCTGGCAACTGGCATGGATATATGATGGTTGCAGCATCCCAGGGTCATGGGATCATCATATGTGTCCTTCCCAGCCAGCTTCTGACAAGCAGGGTTAATGGGGAAAGCTGGATTTGCTTAACGACTGCTGGACACACTTAACAACTGCCGTGATTCGCTTAACGAAAAAGGTCGTAAAATTGGGTCATGCCACAACCGCTTTGCTTAGCAATGGAAATTCTGTTTATAAGCCGAGGGCTACCTGTATATCAAACGAACCAAGGTGGATTGACAGTTGAGTCTGAAGTGGCATTTACGACAAGCACTCTAACCATATTTGCCAAAGTGTAATTCAGTGTTTAAATATTAAGCCAGAGGTCCCTAACCTTTTGGTCACCAGGGACCGGTTCCGTGGAGAAAAGTTTTTCCGCAGACCTGAGAGTGTGGGGTTTTGTGTGCTGCCTGCATCCCATAGATAGGGCTTTATTTGTTTGTGCGGACCAGTTGCTGGCATGCTGCAGCCCGGTACCAGTCCACCGACCAGGGGTTGGGGACCCCTGTATTAAGCTCCTTGGTATGGCACCCACTTTTTTTTTAAAGAAAAATCAAATTAAACTTCTGGCTTCAAACCGGTAGTTTTGAAGGAAGGAAAAGAAACGGAAGCAATACAGACAGTGAGCAATCACAAAGGACTTTTGACACCGCGTCGGTTTTGTTTTAATGTCAACTAATCGGAGCCCCATGCAAAACCTTTGGTTGTTTCTTTGATGAGACGGGCAATTCCAAAGGGAAGGAGGGAAAAAAAAAAAAAGAGAGAGAGAGATTTACAGTATGTAGAGCTTTCCTTTTGGGCTGAAAAACGAACAAGCTTTTAAAAAAGTATGAATGTTGAAGTCTCCATCAAATTCCCGTATGGTACACCTTTGTACACAGGCGTGTTATGTCCGTCGTATATGTACATCTATTTACACACACGGGCGTCTGCTTTCAAGGGAGATTAAAAATCCATGGATAAGGAGCCCTGAGCAGCATCTTCGCGACCCCTGACGTAGATTTCACAAGGGATCTCCTCCATCACCCGGTCTTCAATCACCTGCTCGGGACATTCGTGAGCCTGCTTGAAAGTGTAGCTACTCTTCTTGAAAGTGCTGTTGAAGGTCTTCATTGGCTGCGGAGGGGCGAAATCGTTGTGGAAAGGAAGTTCCATGGAACTAAGGTTGGTCCTGCTTTGCTTGACCGTCGCGGCTTGCGAGCCGCAGTGATGGTCGTGAATGCACCGCGAAGCGGTCGAGGAGCGCCTCATTTTCTCGTAGTTTTCGAGTTCCTCGGAGAAGTCAGCCAAGTCGGCCGAAATCTCTTTGTCCCTCAGGGAGAAGAGTTCGTAATGGGGAGGGTCGAAAACCTCCTGGAAGCCAGTTTTGTTGAAGGTGGTTTTACAAGAAATCACTTTCTTCCGCGGCTGCTTGATCTGCACCAGGATGGAGATGATGAGAAGAACCAAGACGATCCCGGAAGTAATCCCAATGACGGTCCCGTGAGTTTTGGTGATTTGTTCGAACAATCCCGTTTTCTTCTTTTCTGAAACAAAGCGACCAACAAACCAACCGATGAATGAAAAAGTTTAAGACTATCAGCAATCAGCTTCAAATCTAAACTACAGGTCATCCTCAACTTACAACAGCAATTGACTGTGCTAAGTGAGACAGCTGTTAAATGAGTTTTGCCCCATTTACGACTTTTCTTGTTAAGGGAATCATTGCAGCTGTTGAGTTAGCAATACGGTTAGGGTTCAGTGAATCTGGCTTCTCTATTGAGTTTGTTTGTCAGAAAACTGATCAAAATTGATCACACGACCCCGGGACACCGCAACCGTCATAAATATGAGCCAGTGGCCAAGCATCTGAATTTTGATCACGTGATCCTGGGGATGCTGCAAAGGTTGTAAGTGTGATAAACATTCATAACTCACTTTTTTCACTGCCGTTGTAACTTTGAATGGTCACTAAATGAATTGTTGTAAGTCGAGGACTACCTGGACTAGGAACATTGTTAGCCCAAGCTTCTCACAGCATCAGTCTTTAATCAGAAAGTCTACCTAAGTGTACGTTTTGTCAACGTACATTCCTCCAAACATGGAAATTTGAACTATTACATCCTTGGCAGAAAAATAGTGGGCTTTGGTCTGTGTAGTAAGGAGAAATTCTCAACCAATGGAGCTTTGCTAATAGAATTAAGAGCTGGGAAAAAGCATTTCTTCTCACAGAGAATAATAAACCACATTCCCTATTAAAGTGAGGAATCCCACAGTGTGTTATTATGAGATAGTAACCCCCTGTTGTTTAACAGAGACTAAACTCAACTGCATCAAAATTAGGTTGTTGTAAACGGCCCACAATCACTTAGATGAGATGGGTAGTGTAGAAATTCAACAAACAAGTCTACAAAGCTGGGGCTCCAACATTCCTTTTTGTTATACTGTTCAGTAGCTTCATCACTGGAGATCTTTAAGAAGAGGCTAGACAGTCACTTGTCTGAGATGGTACAGGTTCTCCTGCTAGAGTAGAGGGGCTGGAATAGAAGACCTCCAAGGTCCCTTCCAGATCTATTCCTATTCTACTCTACTCTACTCTACTCTACTCTACTCTACTCTACTCTACTCTACTCTACTCTACTCTACTCTACTCTACTCTACTCTACTCTACTCTACTGCTGGAATTGGGTATGTCTAGTTTAATGAAGACAAGGATGAGGGGGGACATGATAGCAGTGTTCCTGTATCTCAGGGCTGCCACAAAGAAGAGGGAGTCAAGCTATTTTCCAAGGCGCCTGAAGGCAGGACAAGAAGCAATGGATGGAAACTAACCAAAGAGAGAAGCAACCTTAGAACTAAGGAGAAACTTCCTGACAGTTAGAACAATTAACCAGTGGAACAACCTGCCTCCAGAAGCGGTGAATGCTCCAACACTGGAAGTTTTTAAGAAGAGACTGGACGGCCATTTGTCTGAAATGGTATAGGGTTTCCTGCCTGAGCAGGAGGTTGGACCAGATGACCTCCAAGGTCCCTTCCATCCTCCTCCTCCTCTTCCCCCCCCTCCTCCTCCTCCTCATTCTATTCTATTCTATTCTATTCTATTCTATTCTATTCTATTCTATTCTATTCTATTCTATTCTATTCTATTCTATTCTATTCTATCATGATTCTATTCTACTCTACTCTACTCTACTCTACTCTACTCTACTCTACTCTACTCTACTCTACTCTACTCTACTCTACTCTATTTCGGGGAAATCAGAGCTCCAAACTATCAGCCTTCCTAGGTAGACTAGACAGAAAGATTGATCAGGTAAGCTAATTCTACCTTATTGTAAAGCTACAATATTGAAAATCTGAAAGTGCAATTCTTCCATGGTCACTTTCACAGACTGAGAGCTTATGGAGAGTATCCTTTCTCAGGCTCTTTCTCTGCCTCTTATGCAGCTGAGGAATGTGCTGTCTCTTACCTGACTGCTCCCTAGCCAGCATCTCTTCTCCCTATCTCCCGTCATTCCCACTACAACCATTATATCACCCTCCCCATGTCTAATCTTTTCAAATGTAGTTTGCTCTTTCACAAGCAACTGCAGCTTGTACAAATGCAAGACTATTTGATCCATGCGCAACTAGACCAGAAGACCAGAAATTCAATAGGTCCATCAACACCACTGAGTTCAATACAAGTTCCTCTGAAGAGGTTCTCAAGAACCTGTTCTCCAAAGCGCCTGAAGGCAAAACAAGAAGCAACTGACGGAAACTAACTAAAGAGAGAAGCAACCGAGAACTAAGGAGAAACTTCCTGACAGTGAGAACAATTAACCAGTGGAACAACCTGCCTCCAGAAGCTGTGAACGCTCCAACACTGGAAGTCTTTAAGAAGAGATTGGACAGCCATTTGTCTGAAATGGTATAGGGTTTCCTGTCTATACCAGGGCATTGGATTAGATGACCTCCAAGGTCCCTTTCAACATCATCATCATCATCATCATCATCATCATCATCATCATCATCATCATCATCATCATCATCATTATTATTATTATTAACCAATTGGCCTGTGCTACTTCTAAATATACAGAAACCCAGTGTAACAGCTCATTAAGTAGAAGTTTGAGGCACAATTAGTACGCTAGTTAAATTGAAACACTTGGCTTAGAATTTTGTGAAAGGCATTCTCTAATTAGATGGCACTAATGGCAACATTTCAGCTTGAATCTCAATATGGAAGAGAGCCAGGTCAACATATCCAAATGGCATCTGATTTGCTACAGGAAGTTTTCTTGAAAAGTTCAGTTAGAATACCTTTAATTTTTAAGCAATCATTGTCACGCCCTTTAATTTCATGTACATTAATCAAATGCGGGCTTGCAGAATGTGTAAACAGATGCACTGCTTGTCTGTTGCGATAATTTTCCAAGAGAGGTTAATGATGAATGCAGTAACACACTTAAGAGAGAAATAATAACGCCACACGTTGTGGCTAGTCATGCTAAGCTGGTTGAAATGAATATAAATGATATAATGCCCTGCATTAAGTTTGCAAAATTGGCTATTTCTTGTAACCAATTGCTATTTTAAATTTGAATGTGAGACGAAGTAAAGATGACCTTTCTTTTGAAGTGATATAAGCGTGAAGTTGGAAGTAACAACCTGAAGACTTATTTTATCTTTTAAAAACCTTACATATAAATATATTTCTTAACAAAAGCCCATGGATCATGAGGAACAATTCTCAGCCTTAGTATCGTCTCTTAAAATAAGGGTGATAAATATTCTTTACCCAATGCTATTATTAAATGGGCGAACCTTTCTATTTTCAAAAATACTTGTCTTTGGCATTAGGAAAAGGATGTCTGAACTAAGAGTAAATTATACATGCAGATGTGTCGGAATAGTCTATTTGTGAAGCTATTTTGTCTAAGAATGATCAATGCTGAGGGTAACCGTGATAGCTCATTTTAAACCATCTGCAGTAGGTCTGCAACAGTTCTATTTTTTATTAAGCTATAAAACAGAAAAACAAGAAAAGGCAACAAAAGTAATACACTGAAGCCTGGAAACTGCATTTATATGGTTTGAATTTAAAACAGAGCTCCAAAGTGAAGATGCAAATAACAATCCCAAAGGTGCTTTTTCAAAAGGCAACTGGAATTTCTTCTTCTTCTTTTTTCCTTGAAGACATGTCACTTCTTATCCGAGAAGCTTCTTCGGTTCTGACTGAATGGTGGAGAATTCTCCATCATTCAGTCAGAACTGAAGAAGCTTCTCGCATGAGAAGCGAAATGTCTTCAAAGGAAAAAAAAAAAAGAAATTCCAGTTGCTTTTTGAAAAAGCACTTTTGGGATAACCATGACCTGGATGACTAAGAATCTCCATAGACATCATGCAAACAACAGTTGATATAAAGCTGGCAAAATGTCAACTGTCCTAAGCAGGGAAAAAAAAAAAGAATGGCTGAATTCTGCAATTTGTTTAATTTGTGTTTTGCTTTGTAAAATTTAGGTAGGCAAATCTCACAGGTTCCAAGAAAGAACCTTTTGAGGTTGGAAACTTGCTGGCAATGGTCTTTAGGCTGCTAAGAAGAAAAACGGAAGGCTCACTCACAACTCATTCAAGGGTTTTAGTCATTACTCACCTTTGCAATGATTTTCATCCCATGGATAGGCACAGTTTTGAATGCCATTGCAAACTAAGGAATTATTGATGCACATGTTGCTATGGCAGAAATAAGCACCACCTAAACATGGAGCTGAGAGAAACAGGGGTGAAAATAAAGATTACACAAATTTCAGCTTTTCCTTAAAATATATTTTCAGTACATAAATTGCTTCATTAGATTTTAGGTATAGGTTTTGGGGTTCTTGTTTTTTTGCATATAATACAGTAACATATTTAGCAGTGGTGGTCATCTGAGAGTTCAATCCTAGATAGCAGCAGATATTTCTCTCCTAGGGTGCTGAGAAAAAAATATCTGCTGTGAATTCTGAGTAGGTGTCAGGAAGGGCATCCAGCCAGTAAACGCTCAGTTCTACCCCAAATAATTAAGGGATTACAGAGTCATGAAAAGGGAGTTTTAGAGACATATTTAGAATATTTGTAGGAGATGACCAGGCTGAGCCTGAGGGAGGGGTCAAATGTGTCATCAGTCGCGAGTCCCTGCACTTCCACAAAAGATCTAAATCCAGCCAAACTTGAATGTCTTAATTCCCGCTCATTTCCCTTCCCCATTAGCAGCTCAGATTCTTGCAGAGAGCTTAAGCTTTTGCAATAAATCTTTATAACTCATTTGAACTGTCTGACTCTCCTGATTTCCCTGACGTTTAACAATATTTTTTATAGATTTGGCTATTTCTATCACATCCGTGCACCTTATTAAAAGTAGTTTATCGGTAGATTTATTTTCTCAGCGAAACAGGGACTATATGTTTTCACGATTAGTATATAGTAAATCGACTTGGTGAGAAATTGCTCTCCTGTAACCATTTCTTTCCAAGTTCCTGGCTTTACACGATCTGTGCTTTTAATTATGAGCCATCATCTATGGATTGTGAGTGGGGCAATAAGATGATTATGTCACCAAGTTATCAGAAAAGATGCGAATATCGTTTCAGATTTAATTATAGTTCTTGTTCCCTGCTATTGTTCTTAATTTAATGTACAGAGCATTTAATTAAGGAGGACGATGACTCCAAAGCTTAGTATATTCGAAAAGATTCTTCTAAGCAGGTTTAGCTCAAACTATGTCAGGAAGGAGAGAGAGAAAAAAAACCTGGGAAGTCTTATACAATTGTGCTTTTTTTTTCAACTCAAGGCTTCAGGATATACTTACGGTCCATAAATGAGGTGAAGAGCATCCGAAACCGGCTTAATCGACTCCCTTCATCCGCCCACATGCGTATCACCCCGGTTCCTGTTTGAAGCGTCACATCATTAGCCACAGTGCTGCAAAACTTGGCTTTCAGGTTTTCAATGGAGCTGCTTCCATCATAGACAGCCACAAAGTTCCTTTTGCATTCGTTGGAGTGTTCCATTTGATAGTCCAGAAATCTCAAATAGATCTATTGGACATTACAAGAGAACAGTTTTCAAAGAAACGAAGGAATCGTTCAATGGCATAAAGCCCAGTTGGAAAACATTGCTTCTTATTAGAAAAAAAAAGAAAATAAAAAATAAACAGAGTAACAGAACTAGAATAACAGAGTTGGAAGGGACCTTGGAGGTCTTCTAGTCCAACCTCCTGCTCAGGCAGGAAACCCTATACCAGTGATGGTGAACCTTTTAGAGACTGAGTGCCCAAACTGCAACCCAAAACCCACTTACGCCTCGTCGGGTGCCGGGTGGGTGTGGCCCATTGGCTGGGTGTGGCCAATTGGGTGGGCATGTCTGCGGTGGTAACAGCAGACTGGGTGGGACGAAAAAGTTCAATCAATCAATTCCAACTTTGCAAGATCTTTTTTTTTCCGCGAGAAGTTGAAATTGACTGATTGAACCTTTTTTTTTCTTTTTGCACATGGTGGCGGAGGCCTAAAGTGAAAAGGTTTTATAAAACCCAGCTGAAGGCCTAGGACTGCGGCGACGGTGCGCGTGCCCACAGAGAGGGCTCTGAGTGCTGCCTCTGGCACCCGTGCCATAGGTTCGCCACCATTGCCCTATACCCTTTCAGACAAATGGTTGTCCAATCTCTTTTTAAAAACTTCCAGTGTTGGAGCATTCACAACTTTTGGAGGCAGGTTATTCCACTGATTAATTGTTCTGACTGTCTGGAAATTTCTCTTTAGCTCTAGGTTGGTTCTCTCCTTGATTAGTTTTCACCCATTGCTTCTTGTCTTGCCTTCAGGTGCTTTGGAGAATAGCTTGACTCCTTCTTCTTTGTGGCAGCCCCTGAGATATTGGAACACTGCTATCATGTCCCCCCTCATCCTTCTCTTCATTAAACTAGACATACCCAATTCCTGCAACAGTTCTTCATATGTTTTAGCCTCCAGTCCCCTAATCATCTTTGTTGCTCTTCTCTGCACTCTGAAATTTCATTCAGATACAAGGAATAGATGCACAGCTTGTGTTTGTTTGGGTATACTACTTGCCATTTCTAATCACTGCATTCTCTCATGCATAAAGCTAAAATAATCACATGTTCTAAAACAATTCCCCTCTTAAATAGATTTTATACTTTTTCTAGGGCAAAGAGGGACAAAAAAATCAATTTGATTACAACAGAAAATGGAGCTTTCCTTAAGGAACAGAAGCAAATCCTTGTATCTTTCCTCTCTTCCCCCAACCAGCTTGATTAAACCGCAAAGCAATTTATTTCCCTTCCTCTGGAAATTAAGTCTGCATTGCTAAGGTGCTATAATTGAAATAGCAAGGAGACATTATGTAACTCTCTATTCATTAAATAGAATTCCTTGACGTCCTAAATCTTCTCTCCTCCCAAACTTCCAAAATTAAAGGGAACACTCAAAAACATAAAAAGAATTTTGTGGGAAGAAAGAATACAAGATAAGACTGACGTTTTGTATGTTTCTACTGTATAAGGAGGCAAATGTTTATTCAGGCATAAAGGACATTTTTCTCCACCTGCAAATTGTGATTACGTCTAATTGATATAATTCTGTCTTGACAGATGCATACATTATTTTATCAGTTTTATCAGATAGAAGATAGATCAACAATTCCTACACAGACAGATGTTTACAAGGCATACCTTGTTTTGCTGTGATTCACTTTATTCTGCTTTGCATATGTTACAATATTTTACAAGATTGCAATCACTGAGTGCTCAAATCATAATTTGGCATTTTGTAGCAATATATTTATTAATTATGTACATCAGTTTTTTTCCAGACCTAATGCTACTGAATGCTTAGCAAACTATAGTATAGTAGAAACACACTTTTATATGCACTGGGAAACCCAAAAGATTTGTATGACTTATTTATTGTGATATTCTGGAACTGAACCTACCATATAGCACTTAGCCATAGACTTATATACCGCTTTACAGTGTTTTACAGCCCTCTCTAAGCAGTTTACAGAGTCAGGCTATGGTCCCCAACAATCTGGGTCCTCATTTTACCAACCTGGGAAGGATGGAAGGCTGAGTCAACCTGGAGCCGGTCAGGATCGAACTCCTGGTAGTGGGCAGAGTTAGCCTGCAATACTGCATTCTAACCACTGGGAAGGAAGGAAGGAAGGAAGGAAGGAAGGAAGGAAGGAAGGAAGGAAGGACAATAGCACTTAGATTTATATACCGCTTCACGGTTCTTTACAGCCCTCTCTAGGAGGTTTACAGAGTCAGCCTCTTGCACCCCCAACAATCTGAGTCCTCATTTTACCGACCTCAGGAGGATGGAAGGCTGAGTCAACCTTAATAATATCTTAAAGCAATTAAAGGCTGAAGGATAGTCACACAAAATAGTAACTCTTCTAATTTGGTTTTGAAGCAGCTTATGAAGTGAACTCTAGATTGTTTTTTCGATAAGCACCAATGCAATCATTGATTTCAGTGAATGAGGAATGACAATTTGCAATTATTACTAGCAGCCAGCTGTTCTCATTAGACATTAGATTCCAACTCTTCCATAAACCCACCTTGGAATTTGGAGTCGCCTTAATTGTCCAGATGCAGTCAACGGCTTCGCCCGGCTTTACTTTTTCTCCATGGTCTACCTGGCTGGAGCGGACGATGCCATCCGCTCCGGAGAGCTCAAATTGGCAATCTAGAACACGAAGGACACAAGCTGTAGTCAAGCCAGAGATCAAAGTGATTTAGAGTGTAGTAAGCAGAAGAGATTAGTGCCGTGATACCGTACCTGGGATGGGCTTTAAAATACCTTCTCGGTGTGTGAAATCAGGATCTACAAAGGAGGAGGAGGAAGGGAAGAAAAAGAATGTTATTCTGCCTAAAATTTAATTAGAAAGCAAGATAATCTAGGGACTGGAAAAATGCAGTACACCAGGATGCTGAGCTGAGAAATGGCATGTGACTTCTTCCCAATGACATACAGGTAGACCTTGACTTACAACAGTCCGTTTAGTGACTGTTCAAAGTTGCAACAAAACTGACTTGTGACCATTTTTTACACTTACGACCGTTGCAGCATCCCCATGGTCACGTGATCAAAATTCTGATGCTTGGCAACCGGTTCATATTTATGACGGTTGCAGTGTTCCAAGGTCATGTGATCCCCTAGTCAATGGGGAGAAGCCAGATCCACTTAATCACGTTACTAACTTAACAAATGCAATGATTCACTTAACCATTGTAGCAAGAAAAGTCGTAAAATGGGACAAAACTCATTTAACAAATGTCTCACTTAGCAACATAAAATTTTGGGCTCCCTTGTGATTGTAAATCAAGTGCTACCTGTATATCCTTAGAAGACCTCAGCAATGAGGCAGCTGACTTGTTCTTCCTAAAACTCTAATCTTATTTGTACAGGTTGAGGGGATTATGTGTATTCTTTCCACTTAAAATTAATATTTGTTTTTCAGAATAAACCTGGTTAAGTTCAGAACCATGATTTGAGGTTCCTGCTTATGATCTGAGAAGTTGCAACGTCAAGGTTATCTCTCTGACGTCAAGAGCAATACAAGATCCAACAGATAAAATGTTGGTCTAGACCAGGGGTGGGGAACCTTGGCTCTTTTATGACTTATGGACTTCAATTCCCAGAATTCCTGAGAAAGCCATGCTTGTGGACTTCAACTCCCAGAATTCCTGAGCCAGCCATGCTGAGGGAAAAGGGAGAGGTTTCCATACTGAGCCATGCTGGCTCAGGAATTCTGGGAGTTGAAGTCCACGAGTCATAAAAGAGCCAAGGTTGCCTACCCCTGGGCTAGACTCTCCTCGCAGCTCTCAGAAAAACGAGTGTAAAACAACTGTGAGTAGAAGAAATAGGATAAATTGTAGTTTTTGGCAAGCAGAGGCAGAAATCCAAGACTCTTCTAGAAGGATCACCGCAACACCATTAAGTAAGACAAATGGGACATTTCTACCTGGTATAAATGAATACTTGGCTTTAAATCCTCGTCCTTCCAATTCTTCATCTGAGGTAAACTTGATCCACATAAATCTTCCCGTTGATCTGATCGGGCTTGGACTTTTTAGACCGCAATAACGATCGATGACCGGGGAGAACCCAAAAGGTCCGTCCCGAACCTCCAGATGATCGAATCGACATTCGAAGGAAGGCTCAACGAAAAACGGTTCGTCAAATGTCAACTCTATTCTTTGCCGCGGGGCAGCTGGAGAGAAGCAGAAACAATCCGGATCAATGTTAATTCTCCACCTCAGGGAACGAAAGACACGTTAAGGGTTCTGTTATTAAACCACCTCTGCAATAAACACCTGAATGTAGAGATAAATCTCCAATTCTGTGCAATGGATCTGCTGAAACATACAGAGAGTCTTCGACTTACGACAGGCCGTTTAATGACTGCTTGGAGTTACGACCGACTCCTCGGAGCTACATAAGACCTGTTTTTAAAGTTGCAACCTGTTTTTAAAGTTGCCAAAAAAAAAAAAAATCTCATTGGGGGAAAGGGATTTGCTTACTAACTGTCATAGGAAGGTCACGAGAAGCCTCAGCTTATAATCACAATGACTTAGGACTGTAATTCTGAGCTTAAATATGGTCATAAGTCAAGGATTACCTCTTCTGTTCCTTTCAGTTTAATGACTCAGTGATTGAGTTAGTAACTTAGTTGGAGTGATTTCTGCCAGATCTACAAGTGGAGCTTAAATATTCTATAGAAAAGTGTTTCTCAACTTTTGCAATATTAACATGTCTGGACATCAGTTCTCACAATTCTCCAGCCAGCTATTGGAGTTGAAGGCTACACAACTTAAAAGTTGCCAAGGCTGAGAAATAAAGCTCACTTTGGGCCTGTCACTTTTTGCGTACTGTTAACAAAAAGGCCACACAACTGCATCACTAATACAAAAGTGAACTCAAAGGGAAGGCTTTTGAAGTGCCTGTAGATTTCTCTTCCCTCTGACAGAATTTGGAGCCTCCAATGAAGGGAGCACCTCTGAGCATTGCTCAAGACGATCCTAAAAACCAAGTTCTTTTTGAACCACTTAAGATTTAAATCTAATATAATATTAGTTCTGGGCTTTTGCTTTCCACATGGAAATATATAGACATCATGTTTGTTGTTGAGGGTAACTGAAATTCATAATAGGCTGTTGCAAATTAACTTAAAGTCAACCTCCCTGAGTCGGTGTGTGTGGTTTAGTTATTCCACATGGGTTGATAGGTACATTATTCATACTTTCAGTAATCGAACATTACAAAAAAATCTAGATATGTCCATACCTTCTAAAATATAGACACATTCCTGGTTGGGTGGGTAGAAGTTAGGAAAGTTGGATGAAGCAAAGTGACCTCCGTTGCTTGTTCGAACCCAGTCACTACACTGAGTAGATGCCATGCGGTTACTTCCAAGATCTTGGCCAACTTTGGGAAGAAAAGAGAAAAATACAATTCACCGTCCTTCTAGCAAATCTAAACAAACATCAGCCCACTTCAGCGTAATGAGCTGTGTGGGTTGACAGCATCAAACAGAGGATGTTGATGCACGCCTGTAGAATTATTATTTTTCTCCCAGTTGTGGATAAACAATCTCTTCACAGTTCACAAGCAGATGGCAGCATCTAGCTGATTTCGACCTCAGAAAACTAAAGGGGACAGAGCTGACAGTACATGAAAAGGAGAACATGAAAGGATCTGATAGTATATTGAAAGAGTACATGAAAAGGAGAGCATTAACAGGTACCAAAATTGTAGACTAGACTGGAAGGGATGGGGGAGACATTTTGAAGGGTTGAAAAGACATCAGAGAGTCTTTAATCTCTTTATAATGGGGGAAAAAAATTGTTGTGAGAAGTAAGACGGAGTTACACTGCTGCATAGCCCAGCTTTTCTAGCTCTGAGGCGCTCACCCATGTCCGCTATCCGTGCTCCCTGTAACTTGATTTCTAGTTTACATCATTTCTGAATACTTTATTTCATTTTAATTCCCCTTCCCAACAGATTTGCATTTTCAACGTCTTCTTAATTTATACCTGGCCAAATTAAAAATGGAGAATTGAAACTCTGCCGTAAGAAAAGAAAGGATTGGACAATTGTTCTGTGTTCTGTCTAGAAATGTGCAAGCCCAGAGTTTTATGCAGCCCACAGCTGAATTTCAGATCGTCCTTGTCCTAATTTCAGTTATTTTCTATAAGCAATGGATTTAGATTTTGACAGAGGCAAGCAACCGGAGCTGCCTGTGAAGAGGAGAAGGAACTTTATTATTTACCACCTATGTTACAAGAATCTCCCCAGACCGCTTGCCTTCCCCTGGGAATGACCAGATAAGGTTTTATGGATCTTGGGGGAGGTTAAGCTTATGCTGCTTGCAGCTATGCAAGGATTCCAAGCTAGGCCCTCGCTTGACCCATCCTTCCAGCCTAGCTGGCAGTTTCCCAACAGGTATCTGGCAAAAGCAAGTTATTGCAGACTTCTTCCCTGGGAGAGCAACAGAGAAGATGGTCAGAAAGTTACAGACAGGGAAATGTGGGTGGCCACACTTACCTTTGATCCAACGTTCACCTTTCTTTCTTTCTTTCTTTCTTTCTTTCTTTCTTTCTTTCTTTCTTTCTTTCTTTCT